ATAGTGAGAATGGAATTCATATCCTACAAAAAATCCAATTTTAACCTATTGGTTTAATAAATCCTTATCATCTAATTCAATCCTTTAGGGAGCCATGAATAAGAGGAAGGAATTCTAACAGATTCAACTTTCCCTTTTCTTTCATTCTTTTAAATATCTTAATGGCAGATACAAAAGGATTATGAGACAGACTTGGGTTTAGGATAAAAATTGATGCATGAAAATTGAGATGCTCCACAAATTTGGTTGAATCTTTTGGCCTCCTGGCCTTAACACAAATAAATTATTAGAAGACTAAAGCAGAGTTTATGACAATACTCATTTGTGTGATCTGCAAAGAATAAACAAACAACATCAGTAAAATGGAAATTCTCAGTTGCTCAACTAAGAAGCAGTATGTTTTTCTCTTCAAGACCGATTTATAGTAGAGGAAGTAAAGCATTATCTTGACTTGAGGAGAAAGTGTCTCTATGTCCCAAGACCTGGATATCATATTGGGAGGAGAGGTACGAAGTAAACAGAGAAAAACCATAGTAACTAGGAAAGAGAGGCATAAGTGTATAAAGACGGGCAGAAAGAAGCAAGAACGTGTAGCAAAATTCTGTCAAGTGTTTCCAGGGATGATTTATTTTAGAGATAATGATAGAAATTTCAGTTTTGGTGTTAGAGATTTCTGTTGGATCTTTAAGGCACAGAATGTCAAGTAATAGCAAAGACTGACAATTAGAAAACAGAAACTAAAATATTTCATGGCATTGCTAATTCGTTAATCATTCAGGTACTTGCCTTGCTACCTCTGATTAATGCCAACTACCAGCTAACAGCCGACAAGGATACACTATTCTATATACTACACATGGCCTTAAAATGAAACATATGGGATTAAATTCAATTTGCCCCTTTAATTTATATCATATTTCAACTTGGAATCATTTTCAACTGAATGAATTTCAAAATGCTTCAGAAACTTTACAAATGCAGTAATCATATTATTTGATACTGAAATGAAAATCTCTCTGAGGTGGAAAATGGGAGTTATTCAAGAGCAAACAGCATCCATTACAATCAATTATATTCTAAATAACAAAATCTCCAGTGCGCAACAAGCCATTACAGTTTCATAGGAATTTAGAATGTTGTACTTAATAAAGCAATTATAATCTGTCATCCTGTCCTCAAAATCAGCAGTACTGCCCCAGAGCTTACCTTATGGATTTCTTTGGTATTAATTAGACCCACTGAAGTATAACCAGGAATTTCTAAATGTCATGTTAATTTGACTCTGTGGAATATATAATATGTTCCTATACTCTAATATGTTCATGTTAATTTTTATAGAATAGCAATTAAAATTAATCTTCTACAGGGGAAATTCATTAAAACTTTATATGTAATTCTGTAATTGCCTCTGCAGGAAATAGTGATTATAAAAGTGCCTAAGGTAAAATGTGAAAAATAAATATAAAAAAATAGAATCACATTTTTAGAGATGTTATAAGTTATACCTTATTATGAAAAAGTTTATTTTTATACCATTATGTACTATCATAATAGCAAGAGGGTTTTTGTTCACTTTTCCTAGAGACATAGACTAAATTCAGTTGTAAATTACTCTGGTATATTGAGTTGCCTTGGCAGGCATTGGTGACTAATTGTAGAGATGGAACAAAGTGGAATTAGAGAGGACTTTGAGGTATTGAGCTTGGGTAATGCAATAAAGATAAGTAAGGATATAGATTTTGGGGTCAAAAGATTAAAACTTTGGCCTTATTTATATGAAGCAAAGATTCACAAATGAAAATCTGGAGGTCATAGGAGAAAGACATCTGGAGGACTGAAGATACAGATTCCCAGGTCATCCAAAGAAGATAATGAAAGCTGTGGCAAGTGAGGAGTTTACCAAGATAGGATACTTAGGAAAAAAAAAGTAGAAAACCAGTTCTAGGAAATAAATGGTTGATAGGCAACCCATGAAAGAGCTTAGAAAGGAGAAAGTTGGGGGGTAGAATTACTAGTAATACGCAGTAACACCAAATCCACTGGGTGGTAGTAGGGAGACCTTCCCAAAAGAGGGGTGGCATCAATAAAGAACCGAGTAAAAATATTATTATTGGAACAGTCAAGCATTGAAAGTCTATGTAGTTTTTTAAAAGGATGAAGTCAATCTGCATGTACTGACACTGAAAAATTTAAACAAAAAAGATAAGGGACAAAATAGCATACAAAATATCCTATCATTTGTACACAAAAGAGGACATAAGGGATCACTGGACTGATACACAAGAAACTGATGATCATAATTGCCTCTGGGGAGGCTCCTGAGAGCTGGAGATCAGAAGGGGAGAGAGGTTTAATTTTCACTATACATTTTTTGTACCATTTATACTTTTTATCACATGTATTAATTTTTAAAAACTATTTAAAAAGATTATTGAACAGTGTCAAATATTGTAGAAATGTCAAAGAGGATATAGACTGAGATAAGTTCATTAGACTTGATGACTAAGGGATGTTGGGAATTTTGAGAAGGTAGGTTCAGTTGAGTCAATTTGGTATTGAGAGAAAACTGTATTTTAAATGGCTAGAGAGCACACACACTTCAGGAAGACAAAGAATTTACCTTGAAATAATTGAGGTTTGATGGAATAAATTTATGAACTGATAAGTTGTGTGTATGTGCATATATACATACACATATATATTTAACACATATAGATTTCTCTAGTTATGGGAAAGGCAATAATGGGTTTTATCTGGAACTGGCAATTGGCAAGTGAGATGTGACAGAAAGACAAACTGTTGAGGAATTTGAGAGTGCTGGTAAGGGCACTTGGGAAGTGAGTATAGGGTGGACTGGGTAGGGGAAATCGTGAGGATTCAGGGTAAGCTAAGTATGGATGACATTACCATGGAAATAGATTGGAGGAAGTTTTGACACCAGGAGGGTAACTGAATGATAGGAATAATATCCATTTAGAGGCATAAACCATCCATCCAGCAGATTGATACAAAACCGTATTATAAGATTTCAGCTACAAAGGATTATTACAGTCAGCAAAGGGAAAGCAGTTTAAAGCCAATTTCATAAGTTCAGGTCTTATCAAAAGAGCAAACTTGACATAGTGCCAACTTCTTGATTACAGAAAATATTTGCTGCAAAGGATGATTTCCATAAAACGAGTACTTTAAGAGACAAAAATCGAGAGTGAATATAATAAAAATTCTGCATATTGTATTTGAATAAAATAATCAATGTGACTTAATCCAACCTAGAGCAGATGGAATCCCCCCATAGTGGTTATTGTATGGCACTACAGGTGAGCTCTTGGGGACCCCATCAGAAAGTGTTTCTGGAGGTTGGTAAGATCTACACTAGGATCCCTACAACCAGCATATAGCTGGTTGTGGTTGAACTAGAATGGGATAAAACACTATTTGGCCCTGAAATTGCTATGATCTCTTTCTCACAGCTAAGTTCTACAAAAGCGTGGACACATTCCTGGGCCTGATTTTATAGGATTACACTGCATATCAACCTGCCCCTGAGGCAACGAGTTTGGTCCTCCTAGTGGAAGCAGGGCAAGACAGACTTGAGACTAATTGAGAAACTGTCTGTTATGGCTCAAATGTGGGAACCTGCCTTTTCAACTGGATCTAAGTAATGTTCCATGAAATAATGCAGAAAATTAAGAGACTGTAACAGAAATCAAAATGTCATTACACTTTTAAAGATAAAACTTTGGAAGATTAGTCATAGATAAGAAGTGAACATAACAAACTCATTAAGTGGAAATGCTCACAAACTCAGTCTGG